TTTCTGACTCGTCCCTCTCTTGTGTTCTGTAAGTACTGAGATAGCTGCACTGGAGATACAAAAGACTCCAGATGCCATCCTATTCTCTGGCAGGTATAATGCCATAGAACAGGAATCCTCCAACCCTCCAAACTGAGTTATTTATGTGCTGCCTTCCACAATTGTACCTTATCCACTGTTGATTCCTTCATGTCTATGTTTACATTGACTTGTTAATGTTTAACAGCTTAATTTTGAGTAGATATCTATGAAATCCAGCTTTGATGTGATAATTAAAATTTATTTCAATTATATGCTAAAACCAATATAGCCATTCAGAGGTTTACAAGGTTTGTGTATTTTCTCACATACTCCTTGTGGTTTGTGGATCATATTTTGAGGATCCCATCATACTGGAAAGAGCATGGGCCATGAAACTTGACCTTGTTATTTCTGATTGCTGTGAATTTGGATTCTTTATTGATTTACCCTTCTCGATCACAATTTGCTCACTTGAGAGATGCACATAACATAATATCTATCTCATCAGTTATTCCAAGAATTAACCAAGAAGATACAGCCAAGGAGACCAGCAGAGGCTTGGCTGATAGGAAGTGCTCAGCGAACACTAAGTTATTCCTCCTTGAGTTACCAGTCCTCAAAAGCAAGAGACAAGGAAGTGCATCCTTGTGGCATCTGGTGTAGATGACACTAAGTCTTGTGCGAGCTCAGAAGGGGTAAAGGCTGAAGTTTATTGGAGTGTAGGAAGAGGGGCAATATTTGGATAGATGGAAAGCCATTCTTACTCATCTCTCCAGCTGTATAGGACTCAGTGATGGTGAAACTATGACATGCGTGTCAGAGGTGACACGCGAACTCATTTTTTTTGGTTGATTTTTCTTTGTTAAATGGCATTTAAACATATAAAATAAATATCAAAAATATATATAAGTCTTTGTTTTACTATGGTTGTAAATATCAAAATATTTCTATTTGTGATGCAGCACCAGAGTTAAATTAGGGTTTTTCAAAATGCTGACACGCCGAGCTCAAAAGGTTCGCCATCACTGGTAGAGGTCCTTGCTACTCAAAGTGGGGTCCACAGACCAGCAGAGTCAGTTTTACTTGGGGATTTGTTAGAAATGTGGAACCTGCCTGTTAACAAGAATCCCAGATGATGTGTATGTTTGAGAGGCATTGCTCCAGGCACAAATAGTCTATTTAAAATTTATTTCTCTTGGGGGCTAGTTCTTGCTCTTAGTGTATCTCCTGCACCAGTATCAGCTGGGGCTGTGCTTTTAAAGAATGCATATTCTCAGGTTTCACATCAACCTGGGGCCTAGACTCTGCATTTTTAGTCAGTATGCCAAGTGATTTTTAGGGCACTTGTTTAGCAACCTCTGCATAAGGCTTAAATCAATGATAGAACCTCTGCATTTATTCTTCAAACATACTTGCATTCAAACAAGGAAGAAAGCTTTTGAGGCAAAGAAATACAATTCTAATTGTGGTGCTAGTAAGAAATAAGGGGAGGATCTCAATTCAATCTACAAGTAAAGTTCATTTGCATTAATTATGCATTCCTGGAACCCCAGCATAAAGTCTCATGACAAAAAAGCTAGGGAGGAAGATCATATCTTACCAATATGATCTAATATTTTTTCCCTGTAGTTTTCATTTGATTTTTTTAACATTTTGTTTTTCAGCCGTGCTATCAAGACTAATCAGGACCTTCTCCCAGAAACGCCATGGACGCACATTTTCTACAATGATTTCTGGGGGACTCTTCTAACCCACAGTGGCAGCCACAAGTCCTACCGGCCACTCTGCACGCTTTCTTTTCGCCTGAACCATGCCATCGGAGGGCTGAATCCCTGGAGCTACCATCTTGTCAATATCCTACTGCATGCGGCAGTCACTGGTCTCTTCACGAGCTTCTCCAAGATACTCCTTGGGGACGGATACTGGACCTTCATGGCGGGCTTGATGTTCGCCTCTCACCCCATCCACACGGAGGCCGTGGCAGGAATCGTGGGTCGAGCCGATGTCGGGGCCAGTCTCTTCTTTCTCCTCTCCTTGCTCTGCTACATTAAACACTGCTCTACCAGAGGCTACTCAGCCAGGACGTGGGGCTGGTTCCTGGGGACAGGGCTGTGTGCGGGATGCAGCATGCTGTGGAAGGAACAAGGAGTGACTGTTCTGGCAGTCTCAGCAGTTTACGATGTCTTCGTCTTTCACAGGCTGAAAATGAAACAGATCCTACCTACCATTTACAAAGTAAGTGATTGTTGGTGCTCAAGCATTGGATTTCTGAGTCATCTCTTGCTTGGTCCTATTTTACCATTTAAAAGGCAAATTTGTTCCTTTTCAAAGAGAATTTAACGTAAGTAACTTTTTGATCTTCAGTAAGTGGAAGTGTCCTTTCTGACCTTCCCCTACTAACCTGGGTTTCAGTCACTGATTTCTCAGATTTCTTTACTTATTTTCATGATTTCAAAGGAGGTGTAGAAGGATAGTTTTGCCTTGGAAAGATTATGCATCTTTAGAATTAATTTATTTTTATTCATTCCTAATTTCTGCTCCAACTCTAATCCTACACATTGCCTCCTATACATAATGTGTATTTGTAAATATATCACAGCTGGCTATAGAGCTAGATACTAACTAGACTATAGAGGGGAAATCCTTCCCAGTGTTAATATTATTTTCCTGAGTTGACGATGGAAAAGAACCCTTCTCTGTAGTGTGCTCGGAACTCAAATTCTTAAACAATGAATCATATTCACCTTTTCCTTTTTGTGGTGTAATAGAATAGAAGAGTCAAAACAGAAAGTGGTTATTATAAGTTTTGCCCTGAGGCCAATTAAGGCCTTTGCTTCAGGGCTTAGGATTTGTTTCAAATGCAATGTTGTTGGAAGGTCAAATAAGCACTTTGGGATCCCATACTCTTAAAGTGATCCGAACAGTTTTCTGCTAGAGTGTTCATCGGAGGCATTGGGTAAACTGGAACATCTTGAGAAAGTGCCTTCTACCTATTGCCCCATCCCCACTCACTCACAATAAACTCGCTTGCTTTGGCTTTAAGTATGCAGACTCCACGTGGCCAGGGTTTGCAAACCTCCGCCACGGTGTAGGCCAGTTCCTGCTTCTTAGACACTTAAGCAAGGAATTACAGATTTGGATATTTGCCCTGAGAAAGCTGTCAAGTTTTCTAGTATTGACTAACTTTTCCCTCCTCAGTTCCCTATTTTGCTTGAAATTGAATTGGGAAGAAATTAAATTAAAAAATGGAAGGAAATAGAAACAGAAACATTTACAGTGCAACCTCGGTTCTCAAACTTAATTTGTTCCAGACGCTGTTCGAAAACCGAATCATTTTTTCCCATTAGAAATTAAGTAAATTGAATTAATCCATTCCAGACCCCCAAATGATTCCCTGTTTTAACCTTTCTTAGATACTGTACATGTCTAATGTACTCTTTAATCTATAAATAAACACTTTAACGACAAAAAGGACATGAAATGTACAGTAAAAAATGAAAATTTAGTAATAATAAGCAGCAATAAAAGCAAAAAACACGAGAATATTCCCCGCACTATTTCCTGAGATGCTAACAACATGATGTTTAGCAGTAAACTGACTGATACACACACATTCACTCCTTTGTCACCTTTGCAGTTTGAGACATCATACAGGTATCAGCATGAAAGGGTTGTCTAGTTGAGAAGTGAATGGTTCAAAATGGAAAACCAAGGTTTGACTGTACTTTTTAAAAAAATGGCTATTTTTTTATTTTTTTTATTTAGTAGGCAGGCAATTAACTGCTATGCTTCTCTGCAGGGAAGCTTAACCTTTCAGTTAGAACTCAAGTATCAAGGGCTTAATGAAGTTCTTTTGTGATTTCAATTAAATGCTAAAACCTTAAAAGAAAAGCAAACAACATCTGGTTTGAGAGTCAAGCTCTTAATTTCAAAGCAGTTTTAATTATTTTTTTAGGGAGAATAGGGAGAATAATCTTTTTCTTTTCCTTTAAAACCATGTCATTAACAATAGCAAGCTTTCTTGGTTTATTTGACATGTAAATAAATAGAATAAGTTTAAATCATGGTTCTTATCCCATGGAGGTTCTTATCCCATGGAGGTTGGGGCTGTTAAAGAAAAGGTTCAGAGTGGAGTCACCTGTGCTAAGACCGCCTCAACAAATCAAGACATAATTGCAACGTCAGCCTCCCTCAAAAATGTGAACTTCAGTCAATCTGCAATTCCCTGGTTAGTACTGTAGAGGTAATCTGCCTTCTAGACTGTTTCTGTCCCCCAAAGTAGGATGAGGTAATCCCACT